AAAAAAAAAAAAAAAAAATTTTTTTTAATTGCAGAGTAGAAGGTCCCCTTAAGTTATTTGTTTAATAATATTATTATAACAATAAAATAATGTATGAATAAATGTTTCAAATGATAATATTTAAATAATAAGTTATAAAAAGTTAATAAACAATAAAAAAAATTAATGAATATATTATAATATTATTTAGAAAAAAATAAAATTAAATAGAACATTTATTATATTATTATAATATTATTCACTGAATATAATGAATATACAGGATGACCTGTAACTAGTAGTACAAGCAAATAGGGGATAATTATAAAAAAAAAAATTATTAAAAAATATAGAATAAATATTTTTCGTTTAAAGCTTAGTTTTCGAGAAAATCGACTTTGAATTTTCGCAAAGTACGCGTGCACTTGATCGTGTCTCAGAATAAAGGACATAGGAACATACAAGCTTTATGGAAAGACCCTACGGACTTATCGGAAAGACCCTGCGGACTTATCGGAAAAAACCTCATTACTTTTCGGCGTACTTTACGAAAATTTAAAGTCGATTTTCTGTAAAACAAAGCCTTAAACAAAAAATGTTTATTATAAAAGTTTTTATTATTGTTTGTAGATTTATTTTTCATGTAGAATCACCCCATTATCGCTTGTACTATTAGTTACAGATCACCCTGTTTATTTATTTAATATAATAAATGTATTCTTTTTTTTTTATCATTAATATATATTAACATTTAATTAACTGTAGCGAATTCCACCACTTCGCGTTGACGATCTAATCGAGGATTTGAAAGATGGTACACGTTTACTCGCTTTATTGGAAGTTTTGTCTGGTGAAAAATTGGTAAGTATTAATTGTATATTTATATATACATATACATTTGAAAATAATTAATAATTATCTAAGGAATATAATTTTTCCTAATTTTTTTTTTTAGCCGGTGGAAAAAGGCCGTAATTTAAAAAGGCCTCATTTTCTTAGTAATGCGAATACTGCTTTACAATTTTTGCAAAGTAAAAAGGTTCGTTTATTAATTTTAAATCTATTATATATTACATATTTAATCCTGTAATAATTAATATTATTGTTATTATTATTTTTATTGTTTTTTTTTTTTTTTTTATGTAGATTAAATTAGTGAACATAAATTCGTCCGATTTAGTCGATGGACGTCCTCCAGTAGTGTTAGGCTTAATATGGACCATCATTCTATACTTTCAGGTATGCTTTTTTATTTTATACAAATTAATGTAAACAAGTTTCTGCAAATTATGCAAAAACAAACTTCTCTCTATTTTTGTATGCGATAGCAGCTTAATCATAGAGCTCGAAATACATTATTTTTAATACAATACAATCATATATATAAATATATATATATATATATACAATACATGCATGTATACATGCATATAAGTATACATATGTTACTATTAAAGTATAGAAACCAATTATTTTACAGATTATTTATAGTTAATATATAAATTAACTAAGGTAAATTCGTTTAAGTATTTGAAAATTATTTAATTTTCTAAATTACCTATAAATAATTTGAAAAATCATTTATTTCAATAATTTACACGCTTATCTCCTAACGTTTACAAATTTTTAATAAACATATTTATTAATATATATTTAACAACATACAAATTTTTAATAACAATATATATACATGTATATATAAACAGGGTGATCTTTAACTGGTGGTACAAGCAAAAAGGAGGTGATTCTGCATGAAAAAATAAATCAAAAATATAGAATAAATATTTTTCATTTGAGGTTTTGTTTTCGAAAAAATAAATTTTGAATTTTCGCAAAGTAAGCATGCTTTTGATCATGTCTCGTTATAACGGACCTACGAGCTTTTAAGAAATATCCATCCTTCGAACTTTTCGCAAATATCCAACCTACGAACTTTTCGGAAATACTCTACGAACTTTTTGGAAATACTTGTTATTCTATATTTTCGATTTATTTGTTCATGTAGAATCACTCTCTTTTCGCTTGTACCACCAGTTACAGATCATCCTGTATATTTATAATATATGAACAGCTTTTCATTTCTAATTTAATTAATAAAATAGTGGACTAACTTGTGATCCATTACAAGATTAATTACAATTTTCATTTAAAATATAAACAAATGTGTTTATTATTATAATCAATAATTAATAATTTAACAAGGTTAACAAGTTAAGTCTACAGGTAGTCGTTTACAATTTTAAATTGCTTTGAATTTTGGAAATCACTAGCATACGCTATATAAAACACGTCCCCTTTAGTTCTAATTATATTTGCACTTAATTATTAAATGAATTAATTTAAACATTCACACATAAAGTGTTTATTTTTCATTTAATCAATCACTATTTGCTAACTTTATGTATTCCAATAAACAAGCTACGATCAAAGGATCGAAATAGGGTGAGTATGTTAAAGTAAATCGTAAGTTTGGTCGAATAATAATTAATAACAATCACACCGTTGATATGATTTTGCAGTGAACATTTTTGCACGTGCATGTCATTTATTTACGCGCATTATTGTACTTATTTTTTTTAAATATATATATATATATATATATATATATGTATATATAAATACACACGCTAGAAAGAGAGAGCATATTTTTCAATTGAGTTGTTTGTTTTATTTTAATGAAATACATCATCATAATAGTTTACAAATGAAATTCTGTTTTGTTTGTTTGTTTTTTTAGATCGAAGAAAATACAAGGGCTTTGGAATATCTTGGTCAAACTTGGGGTAGTCAAAGTAGCCTTGAAAGTCTTGGTACACAAGGTTCTGCTGCAAGTGAAAGAAAACGTATTAGTAGTGAAAAATGGAAACAAGGTGCAAGAAAAACTTTGCTTCAATGGGTCACCAATACTCTTCCCAAGTTAGTATTTAATTGAAAAAATTTCACGTGGTACCACGTTGGTGCCATGCACAAATTATCGTGCAAGAGATGAAATAATTTGTTATAATCATATATTTTTAGTGTATTAAATAAACTTGTGTACCATCGGTGGTACACGTGGACTGAAGAACAAGTTTAACGTGTACCACCGGTGATACACGTGGCACAGAACATGTTTATTCAAATTTATATTCAATATTCAATTTATATTAATAATACTATTAATTATAATAAAATATATTTAATTAATATTGTTTCTTTGTTTGTTTTGTATTTTTGTAGAGATATTGGTATACAAGTACGTGATTTTGGTGAAAGTTGGAGAGATGGTAATGCTTTCTTAGCTATAATCGATGCTATCAAATCAAATCTGGTGAACATGGCAGCCATGAGAGAAGTAACTAACAGAATAAGATTAGAAACAGCTTTTGATATTGCTGAAGTTGAACTTGGTATAGCTCGTCTGTTAGATCCAGAAGATGTTGATGTACCACAACCAGATGAAAAATCTATTATGACATATGTTGCACAATTTTTACATAATTATCCGGATCCTAAAAGTACCAATCCGGATTCACTTTCATCTATTAAACAAGAATATGATGATCTTCTTAATTGGCTTAATGATAAGATCAAATATCTTGAACAACTTGATAAAACTAATTCTTTTCCAACAAATTATTCGGTATGATTTTTTATTATGATTTTTAATTATAATTCTTTACTTTTATGATTTTTAATAATGATTTATTTAAATATTAAATTATTATCTTACAAGACATTTGGGATGTTTTATAAACCTTATATTTATATGTATATATTTTTGTTGTTTAGAAATATATTTCATTTAATGAAGAAGTTGAAGAAAAAAGATTGATTTATAACAAATTACAAAGTTTGATAACTACACCTTCTATAATAAATATTACACGTGATTTTTTGAAACATATACAAACATTATGGAAAACCTTAGAATTGCTTGTAAGTATTCCCAAGATTCTTCTAATTGTACTTTTATTGTTATACAAGTTTACTTTAAAAAATAGTATTTATACAAATTGATTCCAAATTTTTTGCAGATGTTGCATTGGGTTTGGTTATTGGATTCTGCATTACCTGGGGATTTAGGTTTAACAGGAAGATGGCTTGCACGTGCAGAAGATTTGTTAAATTCTGACGGTGACATACCTGAAGAAATGACTGAAGAAACTGCAAATATTATTTTGAAAAAGTTAGAAGATCATGCGAAATTTTTCTCAGAATTACCAACGATGATTAAAAAATTCGAATTAGCCAAACAACAACAACAACAAGTTTCACGCGAACAATTAGAAAATATGACAAAACGTTTCAATGATTTACCATCAAAAATTGCCAAACGTAAAATCAAATTAAAATTCCTGGAACACAAATGTTGTCTGGTTGCATTCCTATATTTATTGGAAACAAAATTGAAAGGATGGAATATTAAATATGGCAATGAAGAACAAGTTTTACAAATGTTGGAACAATATAACAATTTTGTTTCTAGAAATAGAATTTTTCAAGAATTTCAAAAGGCCTATTTAGATATGCAACAAGTTGTTGAAGAATATAAAAGAGAAGGTGACATAGGTAATAAAATAAATATTATATATATATATAATTAAATATATTTAAATATTATTTGCATATTTTAATATTAAGTATAAATAAGTATTTCTCAATCTTTTTACAGTGTATTGTAAAATATATTTGGTTTTAATGGTATTGGTATAAATGAGTTCTTATGATATACAAATTTATAATATTATATTTATATTTATATTTATAATTATATTAATATATCATATAATTGTATTATAATTTATTATATAATATATAATAACACATAATATTAATATATAATTTATAATATACAAAATTATTTTTTATTATTTAACTATATTAGATTATTTTTGAAAAGATACAAACTTGTATAAATATATTTTGTAAATAGATTGAGAAACTCTAATATAAACAATAATATTTTAATGAATTATATTTAAATATATTTTTAGATAAAGAAGAATGCCTACAAATAGATCGTTTCATGAGAGAAACTGGTGAAAAATGGAAAAACGTTTCAGTTGATTTAAGATGCGTACAAAGTATGTTAGACGAAGTGGTCTCATATTGGTCTAAATGGAAAGAAGGATCTAATGAATTTGAAAATTGGTTGAATCGTGCTGAATCAGCATTGCATTTACCTGAAGAAGAAAAAATGGAATTCTTTCAAGATATCAGCATTTGGAAAGACAAACATCAAAAACTATCAGACACTGTTAAATTTTTAATAGTAACTTCAGAAGATGTTGTAGCACTTCGTTTGAAGGAACATTATACAATATTGAGCAACAAATGGGAACACATATTCCAAGAAGCTAAACAATACATGCATGCTGGTGATTTGTTAAGAAATAGAAAGGATTATAGAATGGGTGTTGAAACTTTACAAAATTGGTTGAGAAATGCTGAAGCAGCACTTTCAACAACACAATTGACATCAACCGAACGTATCAAGGAATACGGTGAAAAGTTACAACCACTTTACAATGAGGTTAAAGATATTGAAGAATTATTTAAAAACATCAGCAGAAAATTTCAAACTCTTATACAAGAGTTGTCACGTGACGAAGTAGATAAAATGATGAATACACTTAAAAAAGAAAAGGAAGCATTGGTAAGGGTTCGTGCATTGATTCCAATGCAATGGCATTTGTATCATCAACTTTTGGTACAACGTGAGTCATTGGAAGATGGTAAAAAGGAAATATCAATGTGGTTGGATGAAGCTGAAAAATTATTGAACAGTATTGATTTATCTGGTGGTAGAGATGCCATATTGGCACAATTGGAAAAACACAAAACATTTTTCTCAAGAACTTTGTATCACAAATCAATGCTAGAATCAAAAAACAAAATATTTGCTAGCATTGTTAAATCTGTTGGTAATAGTGATGACGTTGATACAGGTGAAAATGGTTTGACGTTGAAAGAATTAAATGAAAGATTTGCTAGGGTCTGTCAATTAGCACAAATGTGGGAACAACGTCTTCAAGAAGTCATAAGATGTTTGACCAAATTCAAAGATTGTGAAAGACGAATTTCTGAATGGCTGTTATCAGCTGAAATATTACTTAATGATACACATATTGATAATCGTTCATCTGTTGAATATCACAAAAATTTCTTCAGTAACGTATACGAAAAGTGGATTCAAGATTTGATAAATGCTGCACAAGATTTGAAAAATGTTTTACCTGCTGAACAACAAGCACCTGTTACTGAGACTGTTGAAAGTTTGCAGAAACGTTGGAAGGAAGTATTAACATTTGCACCTCTTCATCTTATGAAATTAGAATTTCGATTGGATGAAGCAACTTTGCTTCAATATCTCAAAGAAATTGAGATGGAAATTAATTCTGAACAACAAGCATTGATACAAAATGATGATATTGATGGTATATTACAACGAAATAAAGAATTTTTCGTTAATCGTGGTGTTATACAAAACGTTGACAGATGTTTGCAAACATTGAAAAAGATTAGCACCACTTATAGTCAGTTAAAACCAAATGATGACAGTTTGAGTCAAGAGATTGAAAAAACTGAAAATTTGTGGATTGAAACTACTAAGAAAATTGATCATCTTAAAGAACAACTTTATCAGATTCCTCAGCAATGGGCTGCTTACAGAAAAAAGTATGATTGTTTGATTTGTTGTATTAATTAAATAAATTTCTGTATTGTTTTTATGTTTTATAACAATTTGTTTTCAGATTCGATGAAATGGTACAATGGATGGATCACGTTGACAGTATTTTGAAAACTATTTTACATGAAGTTAATACATTGGAAGAATTTGAAAAAGAGAAAGCTGTTTTTCAGGTATTTATAATTTTATTTTTGTTTATTAATTAATTAAATTTATAAAATATGATATGAAAAAAATATATTTGTTCTTGCTGTACGGATAGATTGAAGCTATGACGGTAATTAAACTTTAATTCTCATAATATAATATGATAATAAATGTTATTAAAATGTAAAACAAATAATTCTACTTAAAATTATATATTTATGTTTTATTATTGTTTTAGAAAATATCTAAAGAAGCTGATAACCAACGTGAAGAAATGAAATGGTTAGTTCAAACATTGGATGTACTTATTTCCAATCGTTTGGATCACGAAGCAATTTCTGAACAGAAGAAATTGGAACAATTGATAAGTCGATATAAAAATTTGATACCAACTATAGAAATTACAATGACTAAGACAGATATTTATTCAAAAAGTTACACTTATAGAAAAGTTGTTAGAGAAGCTTGTACACTTTTACGTAAAGTACGTGAACAATCGAAAGAAGATGTTCCATTGGTACATCCTGAAAGTCTTTCAACTGCAGTTGCTCAACAAGAAACTCGTCTTCAACAATTGGAACAACAAAGGGCTAACATAGTTAGCATGTTGCAACGTGGAAAAGATCTTTTGAAAGATCAACATGCACCAACTTTCATTTCTTCTGAGGTTCAACAATTGGAAGTTAATTGGAACGATACTTATGGACAAAGTATTGAAACATTGAAATCTTTGAAAAATACACAAAAATTGTGGAATGCTTATGAAGAACAAAAAGCTGAAATTTTGAAACTCATGAAACAAGCTGAGGAAGAATTGAACAGACTTAAAAATAGTGTTTACAGTGATGCTTCACAAATGTCTGCTGATCTTCAAAACAAACAAGAATTTAGCACAACTTTAGATAAATCTGCTAAAGAAATGATAACCAAATTACGTGAAATTCAATCTAATTTATCTGACGTAACACCAGTTGAGAAAAAAGAATTTATTGAAAAAGAAATTATAGAAACTGAGATGAAAATGGAAACTACGTTGAAAGTTTTACATGAGACGGTTGTTCATCTTCAGGAATATAATTCCAAATGGACCAAATTTCAATCGAAATTTGGTGAATTACAAAATTGGACTCAACAAAAAATCCCACAATCTATGGCAGAAATTGAGAACTATTCAATATCACCGGAAGAACGTTTACATAAAACTGAACATTTGCAAAAGGAAATTCATGAGAAGATGAAAATCTTAAAAGTTCTCAAAGAAGAATCACAAACACTTAAAACAGGTAAGTTGTCATCATTAAAACACATACATATAATCAATTAAATTCTAACACAATGATTGTTCAACAGATGAGACTGATGATGGTGAACCCAAACGTTTGGACAAAGAATTGGAAAGTCTTGAAAAAGTTGTAAAATCTCTTCAAGAAAATAATGAAATACAACGTCAAATAGCTGTACAAAATCTTGCAACATGGAAAGAATATGAAGTTGGTATTCAAAAAGTAAAACCATGGGTTGAAGAAGCAGAATCCAAAGTATCATCCATGGGAAGTAAACCAACAAGTCTCGAACAAGCTATCAAAATGTTAAACATTGCTAGAACGTTTGAGAATCAATGTCAACAACAATTACCACAAGTTCAAAATCTGTCATCAGTTAGTCAACAAATTACTGGAAGAACTGCTGCACCTGATGAAATTGATGCAGTTTATAGAAGGTGGAACGTAGTTCATGACATGGCAATACAAATAACAACGAAATTAGACAAATTAGTGTCTTGTTGGAATAATTTTGAAAGTGACACTAAAGAATTTACGGAATGGTTGGAAAAAAGTGAGAAAGCGTCTCTGGTTGTTCCTAACATTCAAACACCGGAAGTCAGCAAACTCGAGCAAGAATTGGCCAATTTGAAAAGTTTCAGTAAATCGATATCTGATCATCAAGCTCAATTGATATCATTGACCCAAGTATCCGATCACATTACTCACGGTTTGTCATTGGAAGGTGCAACTAATTTGAAAAATCGTATGTCAGATTTAAAAGCACGTGTCAGTAAGTTAGCTGACACTGTAAGACATCAAATTAATCTTGTTTCCGATTCGTTATTGGCCAGACAAGAATTCCAAATGAAAATAGCCGATTTTGAAAATTGGATGGCTACGTTGAAATCAAACATTGCTGATATCAATGAAGTTAACATTGATAACATTGATACAACACTGCAAGCCATTCATGCGTACCTCCAAGAACATTCAGAAAAACAACCAAGTTTTACGGCCATCTATGACGAAGTTAAACGTCTGTCTGGCCAAGGTTCCAAACAAGAAGCTGCAGCTTTGGATGAAATTTATATTTCATTGGCAAATAAATACAAAGATTTAGAAGATGAATTACATCAGAAGAAAAAGATTTTGGAAAAATGGATAGAATTGATGAGTTGGTACAACGAAACAAAAGCTCAATTGGAATACTACAAATACGAAGCTGAAGCACGTAAACCAACAGTCAACGATTTAAACAGATTATCTTTAGAATTGCAAGATGTCCAATCAAAATTAAATACATGGAGAAATCAAGTAGGTGTCATAGACAGTTCATTGAAAGTTCGTATCCGTGACAAACAAGAGAATCCACTAACCGCGTCAGCTTTGGTCAGTGATTTGGAATCCAAAGCTGTCGTATTGGAAACCGAATTATCAGCTAAACGTGAAAAACTAGAAACCCTTGGTGCCAGATGGGATAATTTCAAAAGATTGCAAGAAAAAATTACTGAAGATATCTTAAAAACACAAAGTAGCTTACAAGAAATTACTGACAATGTTGATTCATGCGAACAATTGGCACCAGCTGTTGACAAAATCGAACAATTGATAGAAATACATGAAGGAAAGGAGCCCGATAAACAATTGTTACATCGTGAAGCTGACAATTTAATGCAAGAAGATCAAAGAGCTATGACCAATATTCAAGTTGTTTTGTCATACGTTGATGCCAATTGGGAAAAGGTCAGTGTACTACTTCAAGAACAAAAGAAGAAATATGAAGAAATGGATAATGATTGGAAACAATACAAAGAAGCTGAAGAAAAATTGCAAAGATTTATGAACGAATCAACATTGTTATGTCAAAGTGTTAAAGAAGTTCCCGATGATATAACTCAAGCAACAATAGCTTTGGACAAATACAAACGAGCATTGGAAATTGTAAAGAAGGGCAAACAATTTCTGGACAAAATGGAATCGAAAGCTCAACAGATTATGAAAGATGCATCCCTTTTACCCAATTTTAAATCAGATTTGGTAACGTCAAATTTAAATGACAATCGTAAGAAATATCAAGAAACTTATAACAATATTATTGACAAACTTCAACTGTACGAAACTCAATTAATTATTTGGAAACAAATAGAAGAAGCTAAATATGAATTAACAAGATGGCTCAGTGACACCAATGAAGCATTAACGTCAGCTCGTGAATGTTTACTCGATTCTGAAAGTGGACAAATGCGATTGATCAGATATCGTGAAGAATTACCTGCACATTTGCAATTCAAACAAGGAATTGATGCAAAGATTGAACAATTAAAGAAATTAAATAAAAATGCTGACGTACCAACGTTGGATGCTTTGAGAAATTTGTTGGATGATCAATTTAAGATTGTCAAAGATGCAGCAGACAAGTTAGAATCATTGACAATAACATTGAACGAAAAAGAGAAAGATATTAGAAAGGATATTGAAAAATGTAGCGATTTGATATCGAAAATTCGTGAAGAAATTATTAAATGTGACGATTTGACTGGTGAAAATACAAAAATACTTGGTAGAATAAATAAATGTCAAGAATTAAAAGCTAAACTTGACGAATGTGATCATACCTTATCAAAGATTGAAGAAAATCTTGCGATAACAATGTCAGAATATCCGACAATATCGAAATCAACTTTACAAAAGGAACTTCAAGCTTTGATATTGAGAAAAGATGGTGTCAGTAGTCACGCAGGTAAAGTTAATGCAACTTTGGTTGCATTTTTAACGAAATTGTATCACGAAAAGTTTGGTGCATTTCAACGAATGGTTGGAATTCACAAAGAAAAGGTTGCATGGTGCGAACCTGAACAAAGTAGCGATCGTTACAATCTCGAAGTTAAAATGGCATCACTGAACGATGTTGAAATTGGTATTAGTGATTGTGATGTTAGAAAAGATGACGTTGATAATTCATTGAAATTATTAGAAACCGTCGAGAGTCCTGAAATTACAAATGTTTTAAAAATCGAACGTGACAAAGTATCGTTAGAATTGGAATCATTGAAAGAAAATTATAAAAAGATTAAATCAGTGTTAGAACACAATGTAGCATTATGGCAACGTTATGAAAATCTATCTGAAAGTGTGGTCAATTGGTTGAAAGAAAATGAAAATAGAATAAGAGCTGAAGCTTCGATATTATTGAATTTAAATGAGATTGAAAATAAGATCAAAGAAATTGAACAATTGAAAAACATTGCTAAAGATTATCATACAGTTTTGAATGATGTTATTAATCTTGGTGATGATATTAACAAAGTTAGTCCTGAATCTCGTGTTAAACAATACGTGGGACACCTTGACAGTAGATACCAATCGATACTTAAATTTTTGTCACAATATTTGGACAGATTACGTGAATTGAAGGATAGTAGAGACCAATACACAATAAGTACGACTGAATTACAATCTTGGATAGACAATGCTGAACGTAAATTAAAAGTATTCGATGAAATAACTGGTCCCAAACCTATGACCTTTTATCAGTCACGTTTAAAAGAATTGAAAGCTTTTGCTGAAGAAAGAGAAACTGGTCAATCTATCATGAATCATACAGCTGAATTGGGTGAAGCACTTTTTGCAAGAATCACACCAGATTGTCGTGAATTTATCAGAACAGAATTAAGAAATCTACGTAATCGTGTAGATGCACTGACAGATCATGCCAATGTCATTTACAAACGTATCGAAAGTGATATGATGCATCGTTCATCGTTTGAAGATAAATATTCGCAAGTTAAACAATGGGTTATTGATGCAGAATCGAAATTAGGTGACAAACAAATGCTTTTACCAAATCTTCAAGAAAAAAAGCTTGCCTTACAATCGTACAAAGCTATTGCACAAGATGTTAATGTTCATAAAAATATTTTACAACAATTGCAAGATCGATTAGGTAAAACTCCTGATGACGAAGCTAGCGAAATGTTGAGCAGTGTTGTCACAGCTTATGAAAAACTTTCGAACAATGTTGAAGATCGAATTAGAATAGCTGACAAATATGTCTCCAATCATGAATCATATTTGCAAACATTTGAAAAAACACGTGATTGGATTAACACGATAATCAATGAAACTGCACCACTCATTGAAGATCTTCCTGTTGAACGTGACATTGCTAAATCCAAAACAAATTTGATTAAAAATGTTTTACAACGAAAAGCTGAAGGTGATCGTGTATTGTCTGATTGTAATGAACAATTAAATATCATACTTGAACAAACTTCTATACCTGGTCATGCAGCATTGATCAAAGGTTTCGAAGAACAGAAAAAGAATTGGGAAGACTTCTTAGCACGTTGTTCAGCAACCACCGATGTATTGGATCATCTTTTCAATCAATGGTCAGAATTCGAGAAAGTTGTCGAAGATTTGGAAGCATGGACCAAACAAATGGACAGTCAATTGAAAGATCAAAGTTTGAAGAGTACAGAAGAAGCTAAACGATTGCATTTGCAAAAGTTGAAAAATTTGGAAGAGTGTATTGCACAAAAAGGTTCAGAATTTAGTTCAGCGATAAAGAAAAGTCAAAGTATCGAAGGTAGTTCAGATTTATCAACGAGAATATCTCGTCAAGCTACGAAATATCAATCTTTGAGAAACCAAGTGAAAGAATCTGTGACGAGATATGAACAATTTGTAAAGGAACATAGTACGTTTAACGAAAGATACAACGATTTGATGAAATGGATTTCTAATGTTCAAGATGAATTAAAGAAACACAGTGAAATTGTTGGTAATCTTTCGTTGTTGCAAAATAGACAAAAGTCTATTCGTGATTTGAGTGATACTCGAACGAAAGAAAATGCACGTTTTGAATCAGTCATTGATTTAGGTGAAAAACTTTATTCCCATACGTCACCAGATGGCCGTGAAATAGTTAGACAGCAGTTAAGAGATTTGAGAACATTGTGGAATACATTTTCTGAAGATTTACAATCAGCAATGCAAAAATTGGATCAATGTTTGATGCATTTTGCTGAATTCACATTATCCCAGGAACAATTGACTTCTTGGTTACGTGACGTTGAAAGTGCAATGGAACAACACACTGAATTGAAATCATCATTGGAAGAAAAACGAGCTCAACTACAAAATCATAAGATAATGCATCAGGAAATAATGTCCCATCAAAATTTGGTTGAATCAGCTTGTGACAAAGCTCAACAATTGATTGATCAAACCAAGGACACGTCACTGAATATATATTTGCAAACGATCAAACAATTGTTCAATGATATCGTTGCTAAATCTCAACATTTGTTAGAGAATTTGGAAGATTGTGCTGAAAAACATAATTGTTTTAATCTCCAATGCAAATACTTTTCAAATTGGTTGACTGGTGAAAGAGAAAAACTTGCTGAATGCAATGACATTACTGGAGAAAAAAGTGAAATTACACGTCGTTTGGCAACCCTTGCTTTATTGAGGGATAATCAAATACAGGGTGCTGAACATTTTGATAAATTGAAACAACTTAGTTCAGCTATGATGAAGAGTACTGCAATTAAAGGACAAGAACTTATCAATAAAGAAGTGTCAAGCCTAGAAAAGAGCCTTTCACAATATTTAACTGAAATTGGTAAATATTTTTCATATCATATTATCTTATTTTTATTGTGTAATTAAACATCAATTAAATATATTTTTGTTTTAAAGAATCCGTGGAAGAAAAACTAAAAGTTGCATTAAAGAAATGGCAAGATTTCGAGGATCAATTGGAAGCTCATGGACGTTGGTTTTCTTCAATGGAAGCTGCATTTAGAGATCAACAATTGCAACCAACATTGAGTGATAAAGAAGCTAGATTACAAATGTTCAAAGATAAACGTGACGTTATCTTGAAACAAGAACAAGAAATTGATGCATTTGTGGATATATCTCATAATTTGTTGCATTCAAGTGGTCTTGAACGCATTAAAGTTTTAATTTCTCAAATTAGTTACAGGTAATAAGAAATACAAATATATTCTATATATATATATATATATTCATAAATAAATAAATAATATTTTATTTCAGGTATCAATTACTTCATACGTTCAGTAAAGAAGTAATAAATCGTTGTCAAAGTATAATAGACGATCATCAAACCTACGAAGACAAATTGAAATCAATCGATGCATGGTTGACACCATTGGAACAAAGTTTAGCAACATTGAAAAGAGAAGACGTTGGTGGTAATCTCGAAGCTAGAGCTTTGTGCTTGCAAACATTATTAGCTGAAAAGGAACAAGCTGAACATCGTTTATCTGGATTAGCTGCAGCTGGTGAAAGAATTTTACCAGATACTTCAGCTCAAGGTCGTGAAATTATAAGACAAGAAATAAGACGTGTAAGAGAACGATGGGATAATCTTGCTGAAGGTATTGCTGAACAACAAAAGAAACAAGACGCACAATCGTTGCAATGGTCAACTTATCAAGAAACATTGCAACAAACTTTACTTTGGTTGAATACCATGGAAAGAGCCATAAAACAAGATCCACCTGTAACTTGGCCCTCTTTGCAAGAAATCAGATCAAAATTATTGAAAAATAAAGTAAGTAAAACTCACAATACATTTTATGCAACATTGTAAGAGTGAAAAAGAAGTATTGTAATGAAACTAATGCATTTTTAAATGAAATTGCAGACGTTGCATCAGGAAATTCTTGCTCATAAACGTATAATTGAAGGAATTTCAGAAAAAGCCAATGCTTTGATCCAAGTTGCACAAGCACCGTTGGATATTCAAGATAAAGTCACATCAGTTTCTGATAGATATGAGAAACTTGTTGATAAATCACAAAAAGCTATAACCAGTTTAGAAGAGTTCCTTGATATATTCCAACAATTTCAAGATCTTTATCGTGCTTATCAGGATTATCAGAAACAACAGTGGGAACAATTGATAAGTTACAGTGATTTTACTGCTAATAAAACTACACTGCAAAATAGATTGGCCAAGGTACTTGAGATTCAGGACAAACAGAATGAAGGTGAATTGAAATTAAATGTTTTGGCAGAACATGTGTCACAAAATGCAAGCAATTTATCACCAAAGGTTTATTACGAGTGTATGAAAAGAGACGTTGCTAATTTAAGGTAATATAAATTTGAAGAAAAAAAAATGAAAATAAACAAATTCATTTGAATAATTGTTTGTATTTGTCAGATTTGAGAGTAAAAACTTTGCCAATGCTGTTAACGACGTAATACGTTGCATAGAAGAAAGAATGCAACAATGGAGTGAATATGAAAATTTATTGGAACAGTTGATCATTTGGTTGGCAGATGCTGAAACTTCATTGAAGAATTATTCCATGAAAAATACCATTGAAGAGAAACAAGAACAATTGGAAAAATATCAAGTAAGTTATCCTTAACAAAACTGTATGTATAATCATAATTGGGTTACCCTTAATTACAGTTTTAGAATCTTCTACGTTAATAATTGGAAAAGACAATTTTTTTTTATTTATTATTTTGTTTGATTGAAAAAAAAAGTGTAAATAATGAAATTTCTTAGGAACTACAAAAGGTTGCTGAATCTCGGAATACGGATGTAACTGAATTGGTGGCTCTTGGTGCCAACCTTGAACAAGTAAGAGTGAAAATTATCTACAAGCAAATGCCTTGCAAGATGCAAAATGTGAATGGTGCAGGCTTTTTGTTAAAAAAAAAAAAAAAAGAAAAAAAATACAAACATTTCATCACTCTTCCTTGCTATTGTTTTCCTATTACAGTAAATAATAATAATAATTATTATTATCATCAAAAGGCTATTTAAATGCATACTTTATGTGTATAAAATACATACATATTTCTATATATAAATATATATATATATTAATTATTATAACGCTCAAATTAATTTATAATATATATTGAATAATATACAATACACGAAGTATAATGCTTTTTAATTTGGTATAATATGATAAAAATATAACTAACAGCTCGTGTATATATAACACATCAACATTACTTTTGTAAATATATTTTAACATGTGATAATTTTGTTAATTATAATTAATGTTGTTATCTGTCTAATACAAATAATTAATATACAAAATATAACCTTTGTTTGCTGCAGTCGTTAATCGCAAATCTAAGGCAGAAAGAAGCAGACTTTGATAAAATGAGATATGATTCATCAGATTTGATACAAATCAGTGGGGAAACTAGATTTTCTTCTAGTGTGCAACAAATCACTTCTAGATTTCAATCAATACAAAGTACTGCTAAGGTAATATGATAAAAATGAAACAATTTAAACAAAAAGTAAACTTATCAATTAAATTATAATCAAATTCTTTATTAAATGTTGCAGGAACTGGTGAAAAAGTGTGAACAAGCTTGTTCAGATCATGCTGCATATTTGGAACGTTACAAACAATGTTCAGAATGGTTGGCTACAGCAAGAGGACGTTATCAATCAGTCGCTGACAATTTGTGTGGCACTCATCAAGAATTAATAGCAAAAGCTGATACTTTGAAGGAACTTTTGGGTAGACAATCATCAGCAATGTCATTATTGAACAGTACAATTGAAACTGGTGAACGTTTGTATCCAACAACCGGTGTAGAAGGAAGAGAAATCATTCGTCAAGAATTATCAGATCTTCAACAAGTTTTAGAAGGATTGTACGACGATATTGCATCAACTGAACGTGATTTGCAAGGTAGAATTGTTAAATGGTCTGGTTTTGATGAATGTAGTGAAGGATTTGAGAAATGGTTGAAAGATGCTGAATCACAATTGAAAGAAGATATTGAATTGAAAACAACATTGGATGAGAAACGTGGACAATTGCAAATTTATCGTTCATTCTTGCATGATGTACAAGTACATCAACAAGATTTGTTAGATTTGTCAGATAAAGCTGATAATCTTCCGGAACGTACGGATAAAATAGATTCTATTATAAACAAATTGAAACGTAGACACGCTGAGGTATTGAAACGTGCAACAACGTTTGTTGAAAGATACGAGGGAATTGTGAGTGATCATCAACAATATAGCAAAGCAGTGTTGGATACACACGAATGGTTGGATGCAACGCACAATGCTGTTAATCTATGGGGTGATACCGAATTGGAACGTGTATCTCTTCATACAAATTTGGATCGTTTGCAAAATCTTTTACATACGCTTCCTGAAGAACAACCCAGAGTACAACAGATTCGTATTCTTGGTGAAAAAGTGATACCCGGTACATTGGAAACTGGTCAAATTAATATAAGATCACAAATTGATTCGTCACAACAAGAATGGGAAGGTTTAATATCAGCTGTTAAGTCGACCATTGAAGCATTGGAAAATAAATTGCAACAATGGAATGAATTTGAAAACTTTAAGGAAAGATGTTTGATTTGGATCAAAGACACGGATACTAAGCTTCACGCTGTTGATTTGAAAGCAACATTTTCTGAGAAAAAAGATCAATTGGAAAAATTACGTTCACTTCAAGGTGAAGTACGTGCTAAAGAACTTGAAATTGATGCGGTTACTGAAAGGGCCCAACAATTGCATAAAAATCTATCCACTCGAACATCTCATATATCCGAATTGAGTATTAAGTATCAACAAATATCAAGTAAGGTTAAAGATTTGAACAATCGTTGGCATCAATTTGTTGCCGTACATCAAGAATTCGATAATCAATTATCCGAATGTAGCAGATGGTTGAACGACATTAAAAACAAATTGGCTTATTGTTCGGATTTGAGTGCATCATCCCAAAAAGATTTGGAAAATAAGATGGAAACCATGCAAGATATATTGTTGTACAAGGAAGATGGTTTTGCAAAAGTTCAAAGTATCGTTGAATTAGCCCAAGCTGTTTTGGCAAACACTGCACCTAGCGGACACCAAGCAATCAACGAATCATTGGCGTATCTTCAAGAACAATGGAGTGCTGTGGCGTCGAAAATGCTCGAAACTAAAACGAATTTGGACGATTCGATTAACAAATGGGCCGGTTTGTTGGAACAAATTCAATCGATTAATAAAACTAACGAATACATGCAAACGTCCTTGGAAGAACTGTCACAATTCCAAGCAACGATGACAGAAAAAAGGAGTCAATTGGAACGTATAAAAGCATTGGAAGAAAAAATCAGATGCGAGAACATAGAAGTTGAAAGTTTGAAAGCTAAAGTTGCTGAGATGATTGCAAGTGGACAACAAGGATTGGCTGCTTCACACGCCCAAGATATTTTGGGTCGATTTGATATGTTGTTTGAAAAAATTAAATCGTTATTGACGGAACGTGAGGAACAATACAAAGATCATCGTCTATATAAAGAAGCGCATGACAATTTGATCAGTTGGCTTAATCGTGCACGTGAAAAGATACCAGCCATGAAACAAAGATCATTGAGTGATAAATTGGCCATTGAAAATGCTGTAGCACCATTGGAAAGTCTTTTGAATAAAAAAGCTCAAGGGGAACTTTTGGTTGAACATTTACAACACACTGGTAAAGTTGTATGTGTTAGTACCAATGCTCAAGGTCAAGAAGTTATCAAAAATGAGATACGTGCATTAACAGAAAGTTTCGAAGGATTATTCAAAGGTAACTTGTGTCTTTTTTTTGTTTATCTTGTAGGATATAAACTTGTTAATTAAATAATAATATTTATATTTGTTTTACGCAGAAATAAAACAACAAAAGGATCAATTGGAATCAACCATCAGTCAATGGCGAGATTACAAGGACGAATATGAACGACTTAGTGATTGGTTGCAACAATTTGACATTCTTATCAAAGCACAAAAGAATGCATTGTTGCCAAACGTTAAAGAGAAACAAAAACAAGTGCAAGAGGTAAAAGAAATATTGAACAATTTGACTAAAGGTCAAGAACAAATTGACAAATTTAACAAAACTGCATCTGGTTTGCTTTCTTCTCATTTGGACACTTATGTTAACAATCAATTACGTCATTTAAATTCACGTTATCAAGTGCAAGTAAATCTTGCTAAAGATGTTCTAAACAAAGTTGAAATTAATTTGGCTCAACACGAGGAGTACGAGGCTTATCTTGGTAAGGCACGTGATTGGATAGAAAATGCAAAACAAATTATCAGACAAGGAACTGAAGCTGCATCGACTAGCAGTAGAAACGAATTGCAAAATAGATTAGACAAGATACAAGAATTATTGAGGAAACGTGAGGAAGGACAAAATTTGGTTCATTTGACAATAAATTGTGGTGAAAAGGTGATGAGAAATACACGTTCAGATGGTCGTGAAGAAATTGGTTCGCAATTGAAGGATATACAAAATGATTGGGAACGTTTAGTTAAGAAAATATCAACGACCAAAGTACATTTGGAAACGAGTCTTTTACAATGGGCTGATTACAGTTCCTCTTATTCACAATTGCAACAATGGATCAACGATCGTGAAGCTAAATTGCAACAGGTTTGGGAACAGAAAGTTTCTAAAGCTAAAAAAGGTACAGCAGGTTTGAGTTCATTGGCAATTGGTGAAAGGAAAGCTAATTTGCGTCAAACAAATAGCATCGTACAAGACATAGTTGCATTTGAACCAATGATACAATCGGTAGCAACTAAAGCAGAAGATTTGAGACAAGCTACACCAGCAACTGAGATATCCATTAAATATAAAACATTGAGTAAACACGCACAAGAACTTTATGCTAAACAAAAGGAAACGGTGGAACAACATCAAGCCTTTATTGACAGTGGTAATGAATTTTTACAATGGATAAGAGTTGCCAAAGAAAGATTAGGCAAATGTTCAGAACCTACGGGTGACAAAGAATCAATAGCAAGTAAAATTACACAATTGAAGGTATTGCAGTGTGAACTTTCTGAAGGACAGAAGAAACTTGAGAAAGCTTTAGAACGTGGTAATGCTGCTTGTCAGATTGCTGATGCTGAAGATAAAGAAATAATTGAGGAAGAAGTAGCATTGTTGCAAGATGAATACGATAATTACGTAGATTCATTGGGTACAACAAAATCTTTATTAGAAGAAGCTATTGTAAAATGGACTCAATACGAGGAACAATTTTCTGAAGCTGCTGATTGGTTGACTCAAACCGAACAACTCGTACAATCTTTCAATAAATTACAGGACAGTTTGGAAGAAAAGAAAAACGTACTCGAACAATTCCAAGTACATTTGCAAACTTTGTTCGATTGGCAAAAAGAATTGGATCGTTTGAATATGAAAGCTCAAATGTTGGTAGAAACTTGTGCCGATACGCGAATATCAAACGCTGTTACACAATTGACAACCAAATACAATGCTCTTTTGTCACTTGCCAAAGAAATTATGAGACGATTGGAATTACATTATCAAGAACATCAACAACACAATACGTTGCATCAAGAATGTGAAGATTGGATTGAACGTACTCGAAACAAATTGGGAGAGTGCATGGAAATTCCAAGTACTTTGCAAGAAGTTAACAATAAATTGCACACGTGTAAAACAATAAGACAAACATTAGAACAAGGTCAAAATAAATTACGTTATGCGTTGGAATTAAAGGAAAAGGTTATAATGAACACTGAACAAAATGGTGCTGTTAAAATACAAGAAGATACTGAAAATCTTAAAGCTGAATTTGACAAATTGTTATCCGACGTTGAAATTGCTAGACAAAAACTTTCCGTACGTGCAGGTGTATTAGAAGAATTGAACAAAATTCATAGAATGATCGCTGATTGGATTGAAGAGGTTGAAGGTAAAGTTCAAGCTGAAGAAATTTACAGAAATGATTTAAGTGAAAAACGTGCCCTATTGGAAAAATTCAAAACGGTATTAAGAGACATAATTGGTCATGGTGATTCATTGAATCGACTTAAAACACGTCTTGCTGAAGATTCGACTATACAAAAAAGTCCTTACGAGTCAACAATAACAAAATATGAATCGATTAAACAATCAATTGCTGATAAAATAAATAAATTAGAAAATCAAATAAAAGATCACGAAAAGTTTCAACAAGCTTACAATGAAGCTACAGATTGGGTACGTCAAACTAAACAGGAACTTCAACAACACAGTGACACACATGGTGATAAAGGACAAGTATTGGAACGTGAAAATAAAATAAGTCAAATTATTTCATCTTTGCCAAAAGGTGACAAATTAATCTCAAAAGTAATTGAACTAAGGGATGCTGTAATTTCAACTACAGGTACAGAGGGTCAAGATTCTATCAAACAAGATGTAAAACAATTGCAAAATGATTGGTCCTTGTTACAATCACAATGTCACGATTCGCATGAAACTCTTAACAATTGTATATCAAAGTGGTCACAATTTACAGCTGCTGTGGATAACATGAAAGCATGGATTGATTATTTCCAACAGAAAGTTAACGATGAACAATCGAAAGAGAATAAAACGCAAACGGATTTAGCTAGATGCAAACAATTGGTCGATGAAGCTATCGAACAAAAACCCATTTTGGAAGATTTGAACGACAAATGTGAAGCTTTGTTGGAAATGAGTGCTTGGAGTTTAGCACGTGACAAAACTGTACAACTACAATCAGCTTATACATCTTTACTCACCGATGCACAAAGTTTAGTTTCCAAAGTTGAAAAGAATCTATCAGATCATACAGAATTTTTGAAAGCTAAAAAAGAAATGGAAGATTGGTTGTGTTCCGTGCAAAAATCTGTCAAAGATTGTATTGGAACTGGTGACGAAGCATGGGCTAAGAATAAACTATCAATCCTTAAGGTTGCAGCATCACAAATAACAGAAGGTCAACAATTATTAACCACCTTACAAAATGCTTTCGTTAAAGCAATTAACACCGCATTACCTGAACAACAAGATCAATTAAGAACAGATATGGCTGATCTACGATCTAACTGGGAACAATTGACCATGGATTTAAATACCAATCAAGCACGAGTTAAATCGATCCTTAGTCGTTGGGAGGATCATTTGGAAGCTTATAACAAATTTAAAAAATGGTTGGACGAAACTTACGAATCTACGGAAGATTTGCCAAATAGTAAAGGTGAATTTGGTGAAATGAAAACTTTGCTTGAACGTTACAAACACATACAAGAAACTGTGCACAGTAAAAAAACAGATTTGGATAATTTGATGGAAGAAGCTGGTGAATTGTCTAATTGGGCTGACAATAATGACACGTTGGAACGATCAAAAGAATTGTTGACAAAATGGCAAGCTTTGAGTGATCGAGTTGATGAAAGAAAGAAATTGATTGAGGATGAAATGAAAGAATACAATGCTTACCATACTGCATTACAGGATACAGAAAAATGGTTGTTACAAATATCGTTCCAATTGATGGCACATAACTCACTGTATATAACTAGTAAAGAACAAACAATGGCACAGATGAAACAACACGAATCATTGCTGATAGAAATACAAAAGTATCAAACTGTGCTTGATGATTTGAAAGCTAAAGGTCAAGGACAAATAAATCAATACGTTGGGGTGAATAAAGAAATCAAGACGACCATAGAAACGCAATTGCAAAACGTTCAAGACAGTTACAATTCATTGTTGAATACTGCGTTACAAATAAAAGGTAGATTGGCGGATTCCTTAACGAAATTCCAAGAATACGAAAATACTTTGGAAAGTATCGCAAAGAATTTAGATTCTTATCAAGTAGAAATTGCACGTGAGTTGGAAGCTCCATTGGATACTTTGGCAGAAGCTGAAGGAAGTTTGGAAAATGCTCGAACGTTGCATAACAAGTTACAATCGGAGAAAACACGTTTGGCATTGGCTGTTGAAGCTTGCGAGGCAGCAGCAGCTTGCATTTCCAGACCTGGTAGTCCATTGGATGCACCACCTGTACAAATTGCACCAAGGGAAGTTGAAATTCGTACGAAATTGGAAGATCTTATCGATCAAATGCAAACCCACTTGACGAATGTTACAAAAGTGGTCGGTGATTTGGAAGAACAAACCAGACAAAAGAATGCATTGTGCATGTGGATAAATCAACAACGTGCCCTTTGTGCAGAATGGAAATCAAGGCCGGCAAAATTACGTTCAGAAGCTGCTCAAGCTGAATTGCAAACGATGAATGAATTATTGGTTAATGTTAATGAACGTCGTACGCGTGCACTGACAGAACTTTCATCGCATCCGGAAATACAAGAAGTTGAAGATGGACTGAACAAATTGGAAGCTGAATTGACAGATGCCATTGTTGGTAAACAAGCGTCACAAGATTTGATACAAAAGTATAGAAATCAAGTGCAAGATATTCAAACGTGGTTTGATACTCTGTTAAAAAAAGCTGATGGTATTGAAAAGGGTAGTGGTCTTACGATTGGTCAAAAGATTTCTAATATAAAAGAAATAATCGGTGAATTTGAATCACAGAGTACAGACAGAATGGATGAAGTTAAGAAATTGGGTGATCAAGTAATGGATTCTGTCAGTAATTTGGATTCTCAACAAATTGAGGAACAAATTAAGTTCATTGAAAGACGTTATACAGATATTAGTAAAAAATTGCAAAGAAAGGCACAAGTTTTGGATATGACAGCTCAGGGTATCGAAGCTACTCGTCAAGAAATTGAAGAAAATCGTAATTGGATTGAACAGAAGAAAGAACACGCTAGATTGACCGAACCTTTGGGATACGAGAGTAAACAAGCTGAAGAAAGGTTGCTTGTACTTAAGGTAATTCATTGTTTTTACAATAATTTGATGTATAAATGTTTTTAAATATCTTTTTATAATATTTTAATCGTATATTTTTGCAGAGTATATTAAAAGAAGCCGAAGGTAAACAAATGATAGTAGACACTCTTGAAAAACGTGTTGGAAATATGCAAAATGAATTGGAAACTAGCGAACAACAGCAATTGGAAGATAATACAAAAGCTTTGAGAGGAGAACATATCGAATTGCGTACAATTTTGCAAGAAGAAATTTCCATTGCGAGTGCAGCTGTAGATGCTTGTCGCAAATTTGAAACTGATTTAGCACGAGCACGTGCATGGATCAAAAACAAGAGCAACGAATTGAAGAAACTTAGTGGTTACCTTCCCCTAAAAGCATCAAAAGTTGAACAAGAAATTACCCAACACAGCAGTTTAGAATCTGAAATTGAATCCTTCAACGAAGGCAATTTGAATGACATTATAAAACAGGGACACAATATGTTGAAAGAATGTAACGCTGAAGATCGTGCCAAATTGCAAGGTTTATTAGACGATTTGAACAAAGATTACGAAGAATTGAAAAGAGAAGCTAAAGAAAAGCAAGCATCCCTTAACGATCTTCTTCAAGGACGTAAATCGTTCGAAAATGAAATGGACAAGTGTCAACGTTGGATCAACGAAGCAGAAGTTGCTACTTCATTAGAATTGCGAACATCTAGCGTTGATGTTTTACGTGAACAACTTGCTAAGGTATTTCCTAGTGTTTGTTTTTTATTACATAACCATAAAAATTCAATTTATTTTCCAACTTTTATTTTTTGCAGTACGATCGTTTGAAGAAAGAAGCCAAAGAATATGAAGATAACATAGAAAAGATAACCCAACAAGGAAAATCAATTTTGCCAACTATCAGTGATGCCGATAAACAAGAACTCAGTGAACAATTGAAATGCATGAAAGAGGCCCACGATAGGGTTGCTAATGTAATCAACGAAAGGGCTAATAATTTGCAGAAAAAAATTGACGAAGCTGAAGAAGCTGCTGCAAGGGTTGCTGAAGCTGTACAATTCATGACTGACATTCAAAAAGAACTTCAAGATTTGAACAAACCAATCGGTGCACGTATCGAGGACGTTGAAGGAATGTTGGCAGCTTACGAAAGAATCTTAGATGATCTTAAAAACAACAAATCTAAGTTATCCGGTTTGCAATCGGCTAATGTTGGTGATCTTCAAAGTATTCTTGCTCAACAGGATGATCTTATAAGAGCATTGGAAGCACAAATTGCAAAACTTAGACAACTTTTGCTTCTTCGTCAACAATTTATAGCATTGGTTGGTGAAATTACTACTTTCATTGCTAAATATACGGAAATTATTCGAGATATTGAAAAATCTGGTCAAACAACTGAAGACAAAATCAAAAGGTAATCATATTGATTATTTACAAAAATTATAAGTAGTTTTATTAGTACTAATAAATAATTAATTCGTTTTTTAAATAGGTATGATGATGCTATATTAAAAATACAAGAATGTGAAGCTACATTAGCAAGTGCTACAGATAAAGGGCAACAAATAGCTGCTGAGGGTTCAGCAGTTGATAGAAATATTATAACAGAACAATTGCAAACTCTCAAACAACAACTTCAAGGTCTCAGAAGAGCTGTTGAAACTCAAAGAGAAAAACACGAATTGGCTGCTGCTGAACACAGAAGATTAGCTGAAGAATTGGCCGACATTTTAGATTGGATTGAAAGTAAAGAAAAAGAGGTTAAATCTAGACCACTGTTGGAAAGGGATCCTCAAAGTGTTGAAGAAGAAATAAACAAACATAAAATTCTTTGTGACAGTATAAACGAATATTTGGATAAAATTCGTACGTTAAAGGATTCCGTGAAACATGAGGAAGGTATGCCAGGATCATTGAAAGAAATGTTAAGTGAAGCAATGTCACTGTTAACGTCATTACCCAGAGAAATGGAGGAACGTGGAAATTATATTGAAAATAATTTACAAATGAGATTAAATTATGCCCAATTAGCCGATAAATTGCACAATTGGGTCAAAGAAGCTGAAATTAGACTTGAAAGTGATAAGGATGGTCTTGATTTTGAAAATATTCTTAGTGATTTGGAAGAACACAAGGTGAGTAATTATTAGTAGTACAATTTTATTACAAACAGGTTCATTTTCTAAAACGTGTTTCAATTTGTAGATATACTTTAGTACCGAATCATCGATTCGTGAATTGGTATCCCAACAAATTCAACAAGCTGCTGATAAAATATGGCCATCATTGAATAGTTCTGAACAAGAGGAATTAAGTACAGAACAACAACAACATACACAATTGTTAAAGAACACATTGAATACTGCTAGATCTCAACGAGCACGTATGGAACAAGGTGCAGAAACTTGGAGGGATTACAGTCAAACCTTGGAACGTGTTCGTGCTGTCATAGCTAGGACAAGATTCACTGATGAACCTGTTACAACTTTAGCCGGCTTGCAGTTTAATATTCAAAAGATTACTCATGCATTAAATGATATTCAGGTAAATAATAATATATGGTAGTTTTTATATTTGAAATAACAGATGACATAAGTTTTTTATTTGTACTGTATTTAAAACATAATTGTAACAAATTCTTAGAATCAAATAGAGAATGAGAGAATGGTTATTTTAATTATAAAATAGAATGTAATACTAAACTTAGATTATACGTAAACGTTTAGTTAAAATCCCGGTCAATGTCGAGAATTATCATTATACTTTAAAAAAAAAAGTAAAAGAGGCAGTAATGAATTATTTATTTCAATGAAAGTATTCAATGATTATGGCATATATAAAAATAACGTCTCAAGGTTAATATAAATGAATACTATTATAAAAATGTGTCAATGATTTCGTTTGATTTCGTTGGTAAACAAAATAATGGTGCAATGACATTTTCTTTTGAGAAATTTTAACCGATGATGTCAAGTTTTGCGAATGATGTCATCTAGCAAGGCTAACCGGTGTATCAGAGTTTATTATTATTCAACCGTCAGTTAAAAGTACTTGCTTGACTACAACGCAATGTAAAAACGTGACTGATATCATTTCTTACATTTTTGTTATTTTCTTTTTTTTTATCTTTTATAGAATCAACAGTTCGAATTAGATTTGTTGAACGAACGTGGTCGTGAAGTTTTACATTTGGCTAATCCACGTAACAAAAAGAAGATTGAGGAACAATCTGCTGAGATAACTGCTGAATGGAAAGAATTGGTTTCTGGTTTGGAAGGACGTAGAGATGCACTTGAAGCTTTATCGAGACATTGGGAAGAATTGGAAGCACGTTATTCTCACGTTGAAACACGATTGAATGCTATTGAAGAAAAAAGTAAACTAATTGATACGATTGTTAGATCAAAACAACATTTGCAAGATACCAGCAAAGCTTTATACGTAAGTATTATATTATTTTATTTATTATAAAGAATTTATAATAGATTAATATTGATAATATTAAAATTGTAATTCATAAAAGTAGTTTTATCTAATATTATATAGTGTGTTATACAATAGTAGTTGTTTTTATTAGAGTAATAGAGATTTTTATTATATTAAATAAATAATATAATAGATTAATATTAAAATTAAAATTGTTATTAGCATTTTATTTATTATTGAAGATTTATAATATATTAATATTGGCAATATTAAAATTATAATTCATAAAAGTAGTTTTATATATAATATAATATAGTTTGTAATAGTAGTTATTTATATAGTAATATATTTTTATTATATTATACAGATAATATTGATAATATTAAAATTGTAATATTCACAAAATATTGATACATAATATTATATAAAAATTAATATTAACAATATTAGAATTATAATTGAAAAAATATTTATATATATATAAGACCATATATTTTATTATACTAGTTGTTTATATAGTAATACGTTTGGATAATATTATACAGATTAATATTGATAATTAAAATAGTTTTTTAGATAAAATATATTTCTATAGAAACATTTAAACAAGATTATTAGATTATATTAATTAATCAAATCATTTTTTTATTTTTTTATTTTCCAATCAGGAATTAATTGCGGATGCTGATAAGCTTAGACCGGCAACTGAGGAAATACAAACATTAGCAGGACCAGTGCTCATTTATCTGTCAGCTTTTACACAAGCCCCGGCATGTGCTCTCGAGGAACGCATCAAACATCTTCAAAAGTCCGCCGAATCGTGAGTCATAATAATGTGACAACATTTTTTTACTTTTTTACTTTATTTTGTTTCTTTTATTTGGTACAAGCTCCATACATGGACACACGTTCGATTTAAAAATTTCGTTGAATTTAATGAAACCATTTTATTAGTTTATTATTTGATATTATAGCAGTTATTAATAATGTTTACTTACTTATTTATATATATATATAGATAAACTATATATAAAAAAAATATATTATTATCAATATCTAGATAGGTTGTTGATTGTGTGACTCAAAATTGAGAAAACACTTTCTTGATATTATTTTCAATCGTATTATATTATTATACTAAAGTTTAAACGTATTTTATTATTCTTACTCTTGTTTTTAGATTTATATATATCTATAAATAATTTTGGCAAGAAAATGTTCACACATGTAAAATCATTTGCCAATTTTAGTGATAATTTAAAGCTCTACAAGTATATTGCACAATTTGTAATAATCGTGTTTTTTATTAGTGTGTTAAAATCATTGAAGAAAATCTTTAAGGTACGTTAGATTAATGAACAATTTATAATTAATTTATTTTTTTTTAATTCAAAATTTCAATTAATATTAAACGCGAATTATGGTCCTGGAGCAGGTTTTGGCATGTGCATGAAAAGTTTGTTGTGTATTAAGCTTAAGCTTTTCTTTTTTCTGTTAGGTATACAAAAAAAGATTTGTTTATTATTATCTTCGTGTATATTATTATTACATTTCAGAGATAATTATTTTAAACATATATTTGTTCTTTTTATTGTTATATATAAACAATAAACAATTTTACAATTGTTTGTTATAATATAGCAAAAAAAAATAATTTTAATTAATATTTAATAATTAAAACTTTTATCTAAATTTACCTATGGGTAAATTAATTTTTTTTTTATTTATAATAATGAAGAAACTAGACGATTATTTTAAAATATAATTTAGAAACAATGCAATTTAATGCAACAATCATCATGTTTTCGAATGCAACAATTATTATTATTATTATTATACTCGAAATAGTAAGATAAGTATGATAAGTAATCATACGAAAACCTTGTTGATAAATAATCAGTTCATTGGCCGTTCTTGTATACAAACATTTATTACAGATAAATTCAAATCAAAATATATTTAAATATCTTTAATAAGAAAATGAAATTTAGATATGTTAGAGTGTTTTCATAGTGTTCTAAGAACTTCAAAATTTCAACGTTAAATTGAAAAAAAAATATATATGACGATTATTATTCGTGATTATTTATGATGATTTGATAAACAATAATAATATTGGTAAATTTTTTTTTATGGTATATGATATATTATCATTTAATTTTATATCTTATAATTTATAGTTTCTATCTTATTAATAGCAACAAATATATATATTTATTTATTTATTTATTTAATATATTAATTTAAATATTTATACTATATTAATAATATATTAATTATATTATTAATATTATGTTATATTATATTAACATTATATTAATATTAATATTAATAAAATTAGT